TTTTATCCGATCCGGATCGGTTTTTTATCCGACTTTGTGCATGTCTAACAACACGCAACATCACCACTCGAGAGATCGACTTGGGAGCATTTCTTGTCTGAGTTTCAGTAGAAGTATATTGGGTAGGCTCACATTGACGACTTGAGAGATTAATTTCTCCATCTGACCTAAAGAGATTGATCAATGATGGAGTACGAGATAGAGTTTCTTCGGTTGAGTCGATATACACCGGAGTTGGTGGCATTTTAGTACCACCGTTGTATGAGGTTCAGGAAGGGCCTTCATTTCGACATTCTCACCCACCTAGTTGTCGACCCACCTAGGATCTTCACAGAGTTTACCTGCTAGGCTAAGAAGATCGAGAGGGTTTTAGGGATGAGATCTAGAGCTTCACCTGTTGCACCAGGGGAGAGTCAGAGGAAAACAAAGTCTTTGTGACCTACTCAGGCACCGGTCAAGAGGGCCAGAGATGTCTAGGGTTCTTGGAGAACATCAGTGGGCTAGTGTTGCAGACTGACTTAGAGTGCAGACCGCAGAGGTAGATTAGGTCCTCGTAGGGGACCCTTAGTGACAACGTCGGTGGCTAATGTCACTAGACCGATGAGGATATCATACCCCGTCTTTCCTACTAGCCGAAAAAAAAATCTCAAAGTTCATATTCAAAATTTTAAGGTCCGTTTGGCTCTATAAAATATTGTCTGTTTTTGTTTTTTGATTTATTTCTAGAAAATAGTTTTCATTTTAAGTTTTTTAAAAATTAGAAAAACATGTTTGGTTAATATATATGAAAAATTTAATTCAAAAATAAAAATTGTGAACATTTATTTGCTATCTAATTTTTTAAAAATAGAAATGAATAAATAGTTATTAATAATTAAATTAAATTAAATTATAATTATGAAAAAAATTCATTACATAAATTTTACATTGAGTTATGCAAAAACAATAAAATTGATAAGAAATTTCATAACACGAAAAATCTATTTAATTTTTTGATCTAATGAATCAAACTGTCAAGACGATTACATGACATTTCACAAAGTATACATGATAATCTACAATGTTTATGTGACAATTCATTATAATGTGGCAGTACACGATGGATAATGATGTGGTAAATGAGTTTAATTGATTTTTTTAATAAGTTTGAGGGATTAATTAATATTTTATAAAGTTTGGGGACTTGTTTATTTTTTTAAATTAAGATATTATTTAAATTTAAAATATAAAATGCAAATAATTATTAATATATTTAATACATTAAATATAAAAATGCTAAAAATTAAATTATTAAAAAAAATTAGTTTAAGTACCATATTGAATGTAAAAAAAGTTTAGGGACCATATTGATTTTTTTTTTAAAATTAGAGTTTTAGACACCATTAAATAAAAAAATATTGTTAAAAGGATTTGGACATACTTAAGTTAAGTTTAAAATCTAGATTTGTATTTTTCTATTTTTCAAATTTCCAAAACATTTTTAATGAAAATACTGAAAACATCTTTTTTATGTTTTCATATTTTCACTTATTTTTGTTTTCATTTTCTATAAATTATTTTTTAATTTTACCACCAAACATGTTTTCTTCAATATTTTTTATTTTCTAAGAAAATGAAATTGAAAATAACATATATTTTCTTAAACCAAACAGACACTTAGATTCACATGAAATACAATGATTATCTTTTATGAATGATATCGAAGACCAACTAATTTTAGATTCAAAGACCTTTGAGAAAGAAATAGTTCTTTACCAATTTTATTTTGTAACTTGGATGTCAAAGTCTGATTTTGGTATTACATTCTTGTTGCCATGGTGTTTTCATGTTTTCTCCATTGTTTGGTTCATTCACTTTCATGAGAAATCTTGCTTCTTGACGATGATGATGGTGATTAAATTCAAAGGAAGAAAAGGGAGCTGCTGAGGTTTTGAATTATAAAAAGAAAGTGAAAAGGGCATAATAAAGAAAAGGTAAGCAATGTCATTTGACCATTTGTTTATAGGAGTATACGTGTCAAATAGCATTTACAGAGGTTCAGACTGTTAATGTAACTACGTCAGCATTCCATTACTCTAGTAATCATCGTTAACGATAAGGGATCATTTTGTTACGAATAAATAATGTTGTGACCAATTTGTAATTTTTAAAACTTTAATGGGGAAAGCAAAAAATTACTCAAACATTAGTGACCGTTTGTATAGTTTACCCTAAAGTTAAACAAGCGAAGGGTTAATTTTTTCCTAGTACTTGAATGCCGTTGATGTCGGGTTTAATAAGCAATAAAATCGGCTGACTTTTTCTCAATAAAATTAAAACAGGCGAAGGGTTAAAGCTATTAACTTCTTTGCCTAACTGATAATGTTGTTGTTTATAACGTTTATGAATAGGCAAATAGATTATGGAGTAATATAATTGAGAGATAAATATCTAAGGGTTGATTTGAAATTTCTTTTTAATTTGGGGTAAGTATAATTTTAGAAGCGTTGGTGGACACTCGATAAACTTTATAACTCATACGATATATTAATACAAACAAAATACGAGTACAATACGAACACAACACTAGCCACGACTTTTTACAAACACTACAAACTAAAGACTTTGCTAAGCTCTTCACCCTATCTCTCTCTTTTTTTTCACTCATACATCACAACTTTCAATTTCAACCATCTAAACCTTTTTATAGGCAGTTCTTAACCTCCTAAAAGTTGCTTGTCTTTGTGAAATTCTATACTAAAAGTTTATCTCTTTTGCAACTTGAATTCTTCTCCATTAGATACTAATTTGTTGTTGCTAAGTGTTGTCTCCATGTATTTTTACTTGTAATTGAACTTTGTCATTGTTTTATCCACACAAGTTGTTAGCCATCTTGCTGTCAAGTAATTTCATTTTCTTTTGCCACATGTTGCTTCTCATCCTTAATTTTTAAGGCTTTCTTAAATACTCTAGTTGCTACCATGGAAGTTGAAGAGATTGTCAACACACCACTTTATTTTTATTTACCACATGTCATTGTTCTATATCATTCAAGAACCATTCATGCCTTGCCAACATAGGTAGCAAAATCAAATTTGAATTCTAACATACAAGATCGGATCAAGTCGGATTTTTTAAAAAAAAATCGGATTTGGGGTCGAGTTGGGTTTTTTTAAAAGGTTATGTTCGGGTTAGGTCGGATTCGGGTTTAGGGTGAAAAATACCCGATCCGACCTAACCCCAAAAAAATATAATTTTATCTTATATATTTATGAATAATTACAATAATATACCTCTATATATTATTTTTTTTCAATTAAATCAATGTTTTTATTAAATAAAAATAATATTTTTTATTATTTCTGGTCGGGTCGGATCGGATTCGGGTTTCATCTCAAAAAACCGGATCGGATTTTGGTCAGGTGGAAGGTATATATTTTTTAGGTCGGTTCGAGTCGGGTGAATGATGTAGAATTTTTGGGTTGAGTCGGGTTGGCCAAAACCCGACCCATGCCCACCCCAGCATAACAAACCAGTCACCTGAAAACCAACAACAACAATCATCTTAATAATGATATATGAGGAGGGACTACTATTGCTAATTATTTGACAATTATATTTTGTGGAAGGTCTATTGGAAAAATATGGTTTTTTTTTTATAGCCACTTATTGTTATTAAGTTGGTGTATACAGAAGCTGTTAACATAGTTGGTTTTATTATTTGTTCTTCAAATTATTAACTTATTAAAATTTATATAAATACTAAAAAAATAATATTCTATAAATTGCTCGTATGATGATAACTTTTTAAGTATAATTAAAAAGTTGTCAAATATTCTAACATTTGTAAATGGAGCAAATTAGGATTGAAGAGTTGTCTTTACCTCTATAATATCCGATCAGGATTAGTCGATCAATAGGTCATGAGTTATACCAAAAAAAAAGCTGTGAAATATTAATTTTAATTGTTTCATTTTATCTTTTAAATATTTTTTTAGAAAGGACACTCTAGCTTTCTATATAAATAAGCTGAGGCAGCCCTCAACACAAGAATATCAGGTATTGCTTAGCATTTTAAAGATAAGAATGGAAGTCCAAGCAAGTGTTTTGGGCAACAGCCTTTGCCTCTCTAAACCTCTCTCTCCTTCAATTCTGTTTCTTCCCCTACGATTACACAAGAGGTGCATTGCTGCTACTGCTCATAACTCGGCAAAAATTGCGCCATTAACGCGTGCAAACGCTAACCATCGAGAAATTGCTCGTCTTTGGGTTAGTTTCCCCCCACCCCAACATATGGGGTGATCGGTTTTTTACTCTCTTCGAGTCGAGTAAGAAAATTTTGAGTTATTCGAGTTTACGAGTCCTATTTTATAACTCGTACTTGATTTGAAATTTTTCGAGTCGAGCCGATTTTTTGAGTTTCTGTTTAAATTTAATTGTAAATATTTATAATATTATAATATTATTTAATTCTAATTTAAGTGACTTTCTATAACCATATATACAATACAAATATATTTCTTCATATTTTTTTCATACATGATATACATATATCATACAAAGTCCAAAAACTCGACTCAAACTTAAAATTGAATCTACTCATTACTAAAAAAATTGAGTTATACGAGTTGCATTTTTCAACTCGATTTGAATTTGAAAATTTTTCGAGTTGAGTCGAGTTTATGAAATTACAACTCAAAGTCAATTTGAGTCAAGTTTTTTCGAACGAATTGAATTAAAAATTTTGATTTTTTGAGTCGACTCGAGTTTTGCTCACCCTACTTTTAATCACACGGTATATGTTGTATGTATTATTGCATGTATTTTAATCACACGGTATATGTTGTATGTATTATTGCATGTATGTAAGCATTTTGGTTTTTAAATTTGGGTAATCATAATAAAATATTTTGATAGTTGGATGACCAACAACTATGTAATTGATTTCCCCCCCCCCTATAAATACCATGAACTAGCCGTCAAACTCAACACAGCAGTACTCAGGTCTTCGCCTACAGAAGATGGGTTGCTCTGCTACTGATCATAACTCAGAGACTAAGGATGGAGAAACCAATCGTCCCTTGGCCAACTTTTCCCCGGACATATGGGGTGATCGTTTCCTCACTCTTTCCTTTCATCCCTCGGTATATATTAAATCTTCATTTCCATATATATGTATATGTTAACTAAACCAAGTTTGATACAATCTCCTCATTTTCCGTATGGTTATATGCAGGAACTTGAATCATGCTCAAGGCAAGTTGAAGTGCTGAAAGAAACGGTGAAGGATATGTTAATAGCTTCTACAGCCGATCCAATACACAATATTTTCTTGATAAATACCCTATGCCGCCTAGGAGTATCGCACCACTTCGAGAGTGAAATACACAAGCAATTAACTCTCCGTTTTGATACGCTGTGCCAACTCACTGACAACAACGATTATGAACTGCACACCATTACCGTCATATTTCAAGTCTTTAGATTCCATGGCTATAATATGTCTTCTGGTAAGAGCAATCTAATATCTAATCTATCCTGCCCTTATATAAAGTAAACTGTGATAATGATAATGCAAAAAATTGGATTTTGAATCAGATGTTTTTAATAAGTTCAAGCACGGGAATGGTGAGTTCAAAGTTAGTGATACGAAAGGGATGATAAGCTTATATGAAGCCACCCAATTCAGAACAAATGGGGAACTTGTTCTTGATGATGCTTTTGCTTTCACAACATCGAAATTGACGTCCATGAAGAGCCAATTATCAAGTCCACACTATGCTGAATACATCGTAAATGCCCTCAACCACCCCTACCACAAAAGCATGCCGAGGCTTGAGGCAAGAAAATACATATGCTTTTACGAAAAGGAAGACGATGCAAGGAACGAAACGCTTCTTAAGTTTGCTAAATATGATTTCAATCGGATCCAAATGATTCTTCAACAGGAACTAAGCAACCTTTGCCGGTAAATAAATTCAATTTTTTTTTTTTTTTGGTAACGAAGATGAGGGTTTTAAATCCAAGAAGTAGTTTCTCATGGGTTGCATGCTGCATGCACGCAGTTGGTGGAAAGAAGAAAACATGGAATCAAGGTTTCCGTGTATAAGACATAGACTCGTGGAGAACTTCTTCGTGGCTGTCGGGTTTTATTTCGAACCACGTTTCGCACGTGCTCGGAGCATAGATGTTAAACTGTTGTCAATCTTAGGGCTCATCGATGACACCTACGATGCCTATGGTACTTATGAAGAACTCCAATGTTTCACCGACGCAATACAAAGGTTTAATTCCCATTTTTCGTATCCAATAATACATCGATCATGAGTTATTGGGTTATGGCTATATCATATTATTAAGTGTTGGTGTGTTCAGATTCGATATTAGCGCCATGGATCAACTTCCAACGGATCACTTGAAGTTAGTTTACGAATGTGTCTTGAAAGTTCTCGATGAAGTAGAGAAGCAGGTGAGAAAAGAAGGGAGATCTTATGCCGTTTCCTACATTAGAAATGAGGTAATTTGAATGCTCCATTATATATATATATGTATGTACGCATGTATTACCTTGACATATGTGTTTAATATCAATAATTCCTCATAAAAATAGACCAAAGAAGTAGCAGTAACCTATCTGACGGAGAGGCGTTGGGCTCACGAACGCTATCTGCCTACAGTTGATGAGTATCTGGAAGCGGCGTTGAAGCCATGTGCAGCGTTCTTATAGTGGCTCAAACAATGGTAGGAATAGAGGAAGTAGATGAAACTGCATTCCAATGGCTCATCAGTACTGATAACAAAATTCATAAAGCCCTCGACAAATTAGGTCGCCTCCACAATGAAATTATGATTACAGAGGTATATATAATTTCAAATCATCTTTTGGTTAGTTATAAAATATTATTATAATATTACAAAGATAAGTAAAGAGTCACTCAAGTTTAACTAGATTGATATTATCATTAACACAATATACAAGAATACTTGGAATTGAGCTTACTTAAACGCAGGACGGTGTCAGAATTTTAGTTCAATGGGTAAAGTATAATTAACAACAGAAAATAGGGATAAAATCAAAATGTAAAGGCCTAAATGAGTAATTATTCCTATAATTTTTAATTGTAAAAGAAAACTGGGGGCGGCAGTGGGCCCCAAGGGCCTACATGGCTCTGTCGCTGCCTAAAAGCTCAATATCCTTAAATTTATGAGTGGGAAAAAATTCTAAATATTGATCCAGAAAATGCATCTTCAGGGAGAAAAAAAGACAAATAAAAGATCAATTAAGTTGTATAAATTAAATTTTATATGATTTCTATATTAACTGATATTTTCAGTGTTTATATTAAAAAATATTTTAGTCGATTCAAAAGTTTTCCTTCAACTTTTATATATATATATATTATAAATTATAAATTATTATATATATATAGGGACGGAGTCATCTTAGGTCTAGGGGCCACTGGTTCACTCTCAAATTTTTTATTATTAGAAAATGTATGGGAAAATATGAAATTAGGGCTTTAAATTTTAGTTTATTTTTATTTTGCCTCCTCATTTTCTATGGTTAATTATACTTTGTCCCCTCATTTTCTATGATTAATTATACTTTGTCCCCTTAAGTTTGAATCCTAACTCGTCCCTATATATATATATAGAGAGAGAGTTTGAGGTTTGTTGTTGAACCCTTGCTTAGCATTAATGCATCGAAATATTTTTCTTACGGAGCAAAGGATGAAGAGAAAAGGGGAGTTGTTTGTGGAACCAATTGTTACGTGAAACAATATGGTGGTACAAGACAGGAAGCCGTGGAAGCTTTCAAGGAAATGATTGAGGCTGCCTGGAAAGACATGAATGAAGCTTGTCTGGACCCAATAATGCCCGTCTCCAATCCAACTGTGATGCGAGTTATTAATTGTGCACGTTTGTTGGAGAATGTTTACGAGGATAACAATGGATTTTCAATGCCCGAATTATCCTTGAAACATCACATCGCCAACTTGCTACTTCATCCCTTACCCCTTTAAGAAATTCCATAAATTGTGAATGCTTTAGTTTCAGGGATTGTTGTGTTTGTTTCATCCGTGATGGAAAAAAATAATAATTTGCTGTATTTCTCTTGCCAATTATTTTGGTCTGAGACTATATATATATATATATTATACGAATCTCCATAATGAATCTTTTGGTCTCGGGTTGCAAGCTTTCATCTTCGTGGGCTCGGTTGGCTTTCATTAATTACTTTGAATTATTCTGTTTGGTTCGTGAGAAAATTGATGCAAATGGACTGGGTTTTGGAGTTTCTGCATATTCGAGCATTAAAGAGTTTTGTAGCCATAATAGTGAGATTACAAGCAGAATGATAAGCAAGTTTGAAGCAAAACGGAACACAGCCTATCCCATTCCACCGCCGGTAAGATCGTGCTGCAGCCAGACAAACACGATTCTGCCAGCAACCCTTTGGCAACTCCTACTTCATGGTTTCAATGAATGTTGAATTCAGTGAAATTTGGAATATTAGGTACATGAAAAGGATAGGTATGTAAGTGCAATTCAGTGTCGGAGTAGGAAGGGCAACTGTCCGAGACCCGGAATTTTTATAATGTATTATAAGACTCAATTATTTGAAATATTTATTATTATATATGTATACTTTATTCCATAATCGAGGATTAATTTATAGATACATTCTTTACCTCCAAATTTTAATATGCAAAAGGAATCATTTATTTTATTTTTATGGCTTGAAAATATGATTAGGTTACTTTGGATCATTTCTTTTCAGTGCATGTATTATTGCGATTTGAGGTATCCATCTTTTGGGTGCATTGACATATCAAATCTTTGGCCCTTTTATCATATGATTTGACGAATTATATTGTATATAATCGTATCAAATCTTGAATTTATTATTATATTTATATAAGAGTTATTCCTTGATATATATTAAGTAAAATTTATTTTATGTAATTTATTTATTTTAATTTATATCATAAATTTTATATTTTAAACTTAAAATATTAAATTCTATACCCTACAACCTAAAAAATACAAAGCTTAAAGTTTATATCAAATATTTTTAAATAATTTAATTAAAATTTCTTGTTTCTATAAAAAGCTACATGTATATTTACAATTGCAAATCCTAGATGGAGTGGGTTCCCAATAATTGTTTGAATTCCTAAGAATGTTGTGTCCTTAACTTATGCCATATCACTAAATATTAAAGTAAATAAATTTAGGATTTTATTTCTTTAATTATTATTAGAAATTAGTGGTGGACTAAGGATTCTTGCATTAATCACCAAATGAAATCATTACTTATTAATGGTATATACATCTTCACCAATCCATACATACCACACTGTCATCTTTCAAAAAGTTTAAAACTTTGCCCGACACATATAATTGAATTATAGTTTAGGATATAAATATATCACATTTGAATAAATAAGATGGTGAGCAAACGAATATATTTATAAACATAAAAATATTTTATGTTTATATGTCATAAAATTTATGAGATGGTGCATGGATCAATTTATCTCAATGGTTAAAATAATTGTTTTTGTTTTTAGAGGTCACGAATTTGAGTAACAATGATTATAAGGGTGATTAAGCTTTTATTGTCAAACGATTAAGAATACTCAAAATAGATATTACTTTATAATCACCTTAACTTAATAAAAAAATACATAAGATGGTGAGACTACACCGCTAATTCTTAAGCTCTTAAACTTTACAAATTTAATTTGAAAATATATCTTGTGCTCAGTTTAGTTTAAAATATAAAAAAACTAAATAAATAAGTTTATAAACAAGTCAATAAACAAATGTGTTCATGAACAATGGCGGATGTATGTTGAACTCAGGGTGGGCACGTATTCACCATGGAATTCGAATTTCTTTATGTTAGTTATTTATTTTGCTAAAGGTGCCCACCCTGAAATTTATTCATGCCTACCTCATACGAATTTTTTTCGTTATTAATACATATGTGTCTATCCTGAAAAATATTTCTGAATCCGTCACTTTTCTTAAACATAAATAAACCAAATACATCTCGATTCTTATTAGTTCGTTTATTAAATGGATATAAAAATTTTAGTCATATTTATTTATTTATTTAATTTAATAAACAAACATTATACATACCATCTACAAATAGTTTATCAAATGCTCTATTCATTTACGTCCATAATTATAGGGATGGGCACGAGGCGAGGCGGGGTAGGTTTTTTGTCGTCCCGACCCTGATCCAAAAACATATACCTAAAACCCAACCTCGACCCACCAAAAAAAGTTTAGGTTTTTTCCCTCCTCGGATTCACCCCGAATTTTAGACTAAAACCTCGACCACAACTCGACCCGAATATATTAATTTTTTAAAATAATTAAAATAATATATTTTATAATTATTTATTATATTTTAAATGATTAATTAATATATTCTATATTAATTTTTATAATTTAATAATATAAAAAAATCGGTATTTTTCACCTAAAATCTGGCCCCAACCCGCCCCGAACTCCGAAATTTAGAAATAAAAAAACTCGTCCCTATCGAATCGTGTTCGAGTATTTTGATCATCCCTACATTATTATTGTGAATGATACCCTCACTGTCCTTACTCGGAAAACACATTGTTTAATCCGTCAAACCCGAATATATTAATTTTTTTAAAATAATTAAAATAATATATTTTATAATAATTTTTATATTTTAATAATATAAAAATAAAAATTCTTAAAATATTAAATATATATATATTAATCAGGTCGGATCGGGTCCGTGATTTTTCACCTAAAACTTAGCCCCGTCCTGTCCCGAAATTTTACAACCATAACCCACCTATCCCCGCTCCGAGCCCCGTAATTTAAAAAAAAAACATCGCTATTGGATCGAAATGGATCGGACAGGGTCAGTTTGGGACCCATCGAGTTCGGGTATTTTTATCATCCCCACGTAATTATTTTGAATGATATTGTGTTGTGACATATGACCTTCACTGTCCTTAGTCGGAAAACACATTGTTTAATCCATCGAAGTAGGGGTGTTCAAAATTCGATTTTAACCGAATTAACCGACCGAACCGAATTAATTCGGTTAATTCGGTCGGCCACCGAATTAGTTCGGTCGGGGAACGGTTAAGGTTTTTTTGGATATTCGGTTAACGGTTAATTCGGTTCGAAATCGGTTAATTAACCGAATTAACCGAATTAACCGAAATAAAATTTTAAATTTTAAATATATTATATATAACATATGGGCTCAACCCAAACCATTTAAAATCCAATTAATAATTTAAGATCTAATAACTTTTAAACCTAAATCAATATTAATTAATTAAAAATTTTATATAAAATTTTTATTTTATAATTATATATTATTTAAATTAATTGTAAACTATTTTTTTTGAATTAAAAAATATTAAATATATTATATATAACATATGGACTCAGCCCAAACCATTTAAAACCCAATTAATAATTTAAGATTCAATAACTTTTAAACCTAAATCAATATTAATTAATTAAAAAATTTATATAAATTTTTTTATTTTATAATTATATATTATTTAAATTAATTATAAACTGTTTTTTTGAATTATAAAATATTTAATTTTTATATAAATTATAAAATTTTAAAAAATTTCGGTTAATTCGAAAATTAACCGAATTAACCGAAATTTATTCGGTTCGGTTAATATTTTCGAAAAAAAGTTCGGTTCGGTTAACGGTTAAAGAAAAAAAAAAGTTCGGTTAATTCAAAAATGGTAGTTCGGTCGGTTCGGCCACCGAATTAACCGAATGAACACTCCTACGTCGAAGCTTTTGCAGACCAGATAGAAGCCAATGATCACAAGATTCGACGGTGAATGAACCAAAGCATGTGCGTGATCACGAGGAACAGTGAAGAGGCCAGAAATGAGATGGCTGGAAGTGTGAGTGTTGATGTTAAGGATTAAAGGGGGTCGCCTGGTTTTCTCCTTTGGGGTGAAGCGAAACAGAATGTAGGTCGATAAGGGAAACAGAATGTACAGACTCACGTCACTTGTTTCCATGGGTTTGATTTGGAAATCGAACTCATTAATTTATGGGCTTTGATTTGGTGTCACACTTCCATGCATACTTGGTTTTCTTCCCAATGTTGGACTACTCTCCCTCACACTTGGCTTGGCAATGCCCGAATCAATTTGTTTTTTTTATTTGTTTGTTAGGGTTGAAGTTTTAGAAAATAGTGAACAACATATATATTAATTATTATTTGATATATTCATAGTTAAATTTTATTAATTCTACAAGCATAGTTGAGAATCATCACGTGTTTTTAGTTTGATTTAAAAAAAAAATTAAATAAATCAGGCTCATAATAGTTTTTCTGTCTTACATTTTATTGTTAATGTATAAAATATTAATTTGATATATGTAAGTATGAGCATGGAACTCGGACTTGACATATTCTAGTTTGGTTTGACTAAATCATAGAGGGTCATTTTTATTTTAAGTAATATGTCCGATTTAGAGTTTTTAAGGATAAGATCGGATCATATTTGAATTTAGAGTGAAAATTTCTCGAATCGGCCCTAAACATCATATATACGTTTTTCAATTAGATCATAATTTTACCTAATAAAAATGAGAAATATATATGGGTTACATGGACGAAGCTCCCTTAGGGCCCAAGGGGCCCCCGACTCCTGTTATTTATATATTCGATATAATTTTGGTTTAATAGTATTTTGGTTCATGTAAAAATAAATACTTAAATTTAAAAAAATATAAAAAACTTATTAAATATTAATCAAGTAGGGGTCGAACTAAAGAATGATAAGTCTGTGTTCTCAAATTTTTGGTCTAATTACAATTTAAGTCATTGTAAGTTTAAATATTAGACAAACTGGAAGTTGTCTTTTGAGTTTTTAGTTTTTTTAAAATTTAGGGTGAATACAAGGTAATATATGTACCAAGACTTTCAACTATTTAACAATTAACGCTCATACCCCTACATACGTGCTTGCACTCG